AAACTGTTTTGTCCATGTTACACTAAATTCGAACTCTAGAACTAAGATGTAAAATATCTCAATTCTATATTATAATTGAATTGGCAAAGAATCGAAAAACATTTTCTATGTGTTAACTTTAGTGATCATATTGATCGTACATCATTAAATAGCACAAATCGAGAAGTTGTTTCAACAGTTGTTCATATATTTGCAATAATTTTAATGAAAATCATTTTGTAAAAATAAAGTATATTTCGTCTCTTACAGGTGGTATTTATCGTACTGAGAAACGTATACTGGTTCTACTATGGTTGAAATGCAAAATGGTGTTCCAAATCGTCCAATTCATATTCATGTTGCATCTGATCAACTTCAAGAATATGCTTTTCCCAGGAGACAATAATTAAAATTAGCTAATGATCGATGTATGTGTGTTTGTAAGTATAAATTTGAAACAAGAAAAAAAGAAAAAAATATTCTTTTATTTATTTTTAGCACTATTATCATCATGTACTTCAGTTAATTTTACTTGTCGCAATGATGAATATCTTTCAAGATGAAAAGTTTGTGATCATCAATGAGTTTGTTCGGATGATTCAGATGAAGATACAAGATTTTGTTGTAAGAAAATTATTATTTGAAAATGAATTTCGTTTGTTATTATTTCTTTTTAACACGTTATTCTTGTTGACCAACTGAATGTGGACAGTTAGGTGGTGGATGGATTCCATATATTGAGCGATATGATCGAAAAATTGTTAAGTAAAAAAAAAGTTGTTAGCACAACTCTTGTGGGATCAAAATATCGTTGGTTTACTTAATCCTTCAGATATATAATTAGGAAATGATTCATATATTATAAGGAGAAATGATTGATATGTGGTCTCTGACTAGCGTTTGTTACGGTCTCTAGTAGTTCCAATTTCTACTCCTATAATTCAACATTTCTTTCAGATAGTATTTCACAAGAAAGAAGATGAATATCTTTTTGAAAATTTTTATTAAATATAGGTTGGAATGATGAGAATGCGACTGATGAAGTCGATTGTCCATCTCGTATTTGTAATGGAACAAATAGTATGAAATTTCCAACTAATAATATTTGTATTTAAAAAACTTTTTTATGTAGTATGTAAAAAACAAAGAAGATTAATTCATTTTAATGAAGTTTCCTTTAGTTTTGAACAGGTAGTGACACTGATTGTGGTTACAACAGTGATGAAAGTCCCATTTTTGGTCATCATATTCAATGCAATACAAGTAGATTTATACGAAAATTTTATTTATTTTAAATCTTGCGAAATTTTGATGTGAGAATGGTTCTTATATGCTATATTCTTGGATATGTGACAGTCAACGAGATTGTATCAATGGTACTAATGAACCAACTGACTGCCTTTGATCAAATTGAGCATATTTTTTTAATATTCAGATCATGACAATGATTG